TTTTTTTTTTTTTTTTTCAGTTTGTTTAGTTGTTTGAGAGAGAACGTGGATAGGGCAGGGACAGAGAGGGAGAGAGAATCCCAAGCAGGCTCTGCGCCAGCATAGAGCCTGACATGGGGCTCAAACTCACAAACAGTGAGATCATGATCTGAGCTGAAATCAAGTCAAGACATTTAACCAACTGAGCCAGCCACCCAGGTGCCCCATCCTGATTCCTTTCTTGACTCTTCAAGAACTGAGCTTACTCCTTGGGGTCACTACCATACCTCACCTGTCCCAGTGGGATCCCACTTGTCACACTTCGTGGCATTTACTTAATTTGCCGAGAACTAGGGATCACCTCCCCAGAGGAAGGTGATCATCAAACACAAATTTGCGTGTACTTTCAGGAGGTGGGAGATCCACATTAATAACTGGGGTCCTTGAGAGCAAGGTCCATCTTACTGGTCTCTGGACAGAGGCACTTTTGACTGAAAGCGGGACTGAGCAAGTTAGAGATGAGGGTTTCTCTCATTTCAGGATCATGGTTTTGGCAGGAGACACATTGCCCATTGAGGTATACTGCCATCTCCCAGTTATGTGCGAGGACCGGAATTTGCCCTACGTCTATATCCCCTCCAAGACGGTAAGGAGCACACAACCCCCGCCCCAGTCTTGGTCAGCATTGGAACAGCGGGTGTGGGATCAGGTCTGTGGGAGCAGGCCACAGTGGGAAAGAACACAGGCTCTGGAGGCAGACCGGAATGGATCCTTGGCGCTACCGGCTCCCGGTTGAGGGACTGCACGTTGACGCTTTGCACTTCACTTTCCTTCTTGTGAGCTGGGAATCCTTGCCCTCGTGGACCATGGGAATGGAAAAGGAGGTGTGTGTGGATGTGCTGTCGACCAAGATGCAGTGCTTGTGTTAGTCCCGTTAGGCGGCTGCTGTGCTTGGGGAGGAGTGGGCATTCAAGGGGCTTGTGCAGCTGGCCTTATCCTTATACAGGGGCCGTGGCCCAGAGAGGAGGTTGGCAGGGACCAGAACACAGGTCCGGCCTAAGGAGATAGCCTCTGCTGGGCCGGAGCCCATTTGTGCTTGCTCTGTGGCAGTGTAGGCCCAGTGTTGCTGGACCTGACTCGAAAATTGGCAGAGTTGAAATGATGGTGTCATGCAGACCGCACGGCACTTGTCTGTGGGCCGGATGAGGCCAGCAGGTCATGGGTCTTGCAGCCTTTTCTCCCCTGCTCCACAGGACCTGGGGGCAGCCGCAGGCTCCAAGCGCCCCACCTGCGTGATCATGGTCAAGCCCCATGAGGAGTACCAGGAGGCTTATGACGAGTGCCTGGAGGAGGTGCAGGCCCTGCCCCCACCCATGTGAAGGACTCGGACACTTGCTCCAGAAGTGGTTGGTCTGGCAGTGGGCCAGCTGGTTGTCCTCCTGCGGCCTGTGTCTGTGCATCGCCCTGGTCCCCTGCAGCATGTCTTCTTCCCGGGCAGCTCCGCCGGCTCTTTTGTGAAGGCATAGCCGGAATGTTCCGTTGAGCATCGGTGAAGACCACTCCGAGGATATAGTGTGGGGGAAGTAAACGCTAAGACTAAAAGGTGGTGAGTCTGTGGGTGTTTTTTTCAGCGGCAGGTGCTGCTGGGCCAAGGAGGTGGTGGGCAGGAGGGAGTAGAAGCAGCCATTCTTGGCAGACAACCCGAAGGACTTACAGGGTGTCCCAGGCTGCTGCCAGACCCAGGCTGAGTCTGGGCCCTCCCATGGCCATGGTAGGTGGCCTCAGGATGAGGCCACTGCAGCCAACCCCATGCCCAGAGCCTGCAGCCCCTGCGCTGGGCACACCCCCATTCCTTTCTTCCTTTCCCTGCCCCTACGAGCCTGAAATGCCACTGGGAAATGTATGGAAACCATTTACCCACGTGGCACAGCAAATGTGAAAGAGGGGTATGAAGCTAGAAACAAAACCCTGGGCCACCGTTCCTACTTGGCACAATGACCCCGGTAACCCAGTCCCTTCAGACATTTCAGACTTAGGGTGCCTTCCTGCTCTCTAAGGCCCAGCACAGGGCTCCGTGGGTACACACAGCGACCAAGCTCCATGTGCCCTGGGGTAAACTGAAAAGAGCTTGAGACTGAGGGTCAGATCTGGTTTAAATTCTGAGCTCTCTCCTTTACAAGCTGTGAGCCCCGTAAGTCAACTCAGTTTGTCTTCCTAACTCCCCTCGCACTGCTTCCTAGTAAGGAGAGGAAAAGACTTTATACATGTTTGTGTAAAAGCATCTTGCCTGGGGTCTGACATCACCGGGCCCTTTCACCCAGTCAGGGATGCAAAGTGGGTTCTCTCTGGGTACATTGGGCGTGCAGTGATTCCTTGTCGGTGAAGTAAGGAGAAGGCCTGTGAATATATTTGCTCAGTTATAAAACCACGGCATTCAGTTCAAACCTGACTATTTACAGTGGGAAGTGGATACATACAGTTGTGAGGCTGTACCACTGGAGCAGCAGATACAGCATGGGTGTAGCCATCAGCGACCCGGCTGAGGGCAGGATGCCAGGACTGGGAAGATGTCTGTGTTGCCTGCCAAGTCCTCTGCCTCTCTGTTGGTTGTGACTAAGTCAGTGGCAGATACAGATAGGGAAACGGCAGGAGTGCAGAGGCCAGTGTCTGCCTACCGTCATGGCCAAGGAGCCAGCTGCCTGGCACAAACTGGTTCATCTCCCTTCTTGGCCTCTGCCTGGAGTGGCACTCGGCCATTTGCGCTGAAGTGAACCACAATCCACAGACAGCAGCTACCCCCGCGTAGACAAGACCAAGGCTCAAGGGTGAAAAGCCCCTTTTGCAAAGTTCCTCCCAGGCGGGTATCAGAATATGATGCGTTTCCCGTCAGCTGGGTTCTGCTCCATGGGACAGTAGGGACACTTGAGCCTGCAAAGGGAGGAGAACAAAGAGTGTCTCAGGGGCTGGCCAGCAGGAGAGCGAAAGGGAGGTGGAGTAGAACCCGGGGAACTTACTTTCCACCGTTAATGAGCTTGTTGAGCGCATCTCGAGAGATCACGTGGCCGCAGATGAGCTTGATGGGAGGGTTGGAATCTGACGTCTGCTGCCGTAGGATGGGGCAGGCAAACACCGAGTGGTACCAGCACTTCATGCCCAGTTCGATCTCGATCTGGGGGTGGGGGCACCACGGAGGGGTGAGCCCCACTTCTGGCCACGGCTGCCCTTCCTGGTGCTGCCGCCAGCCCACACCTCCCCCCCGCCAGGCCTCACCGGTAACTCATCCTTGTGACTCCAGACCCCCGTGCACTGCCGCTGCTCAATCACAGCCTTGATGTTCATCAGCACCGGCAGCGCCACACAGCCAGAGGCAAAGCTGCGGAACAAAGAGCAGGGGCTGCAGTGGCCCAGACCAAGGACCCAGCGGACAAAGGCACCAGCACACTGTTGTTGGCTTGTGTCCTGGGACAGGGTTCTAAAGTGGCACATGGTCAGATTGGTCCTTGAAAATCGCGCCGGTCGCTCATAAAGTGCCACGTGTGGTTAATGTGTGTCCAACTCTAGGATCATTCTAACGCACCCCTGAGTTTGCGAACCTATGGGAGAGACAAAAGGAAGATCTAGGGGGCAGATCCCTGCTCGTCCAACTACTGGAATGTCATTGCTGTGTTAGGGACAGTGATCGGTTTGCAGGGGCCCCAGCCTGCCTGTCTCCCCTGCTCTGTTGTCATAATGCACCTCTGACTGGTTGTCTACATGGTTGTCATCACTTGGAAACGGGGGGAAGACTCAGATCTCACAGTGACTCAGGCAGGGGTGGGGAGTCGACTGGCTGGCGCCTCGGGTGCTAAATACCTATGATGCTCAGGGAAATCGTGCACTACAGAACCATCCTGAAGTGCCACTGGTGTCCCTGCTGGGAAACACTGTTCTATAACGTGAATCCTTCACCCTGGGGAGCGGAGGGGAGGGGTAGGAGACTCCACAACCAGTCTAAATAAAATGGCACCGTGACGCTATCCGTTGTGGTACAGTCTGGGGTTCTGGGGTCTGTGACGCCCTGAGCAAGTTCATTTGTGCGTCGAGCCTGTGTGTTTTCTCATCTGTAAAATGAGGATATCCACCTGCAACTCACAACCTTGGGGAGTCATGAGAACATTACTGTAAAGGAGTCTTCCAAGGGAAAAGTCTCAATACATGTTACTCAGCCACTTTGAAATCTCCCTGAAGGGACGTGGTTTGAGATATGAGGTTGAGAGGACAGGCTGCAGGCGGTCTTGTGATAATTCAGGGGTGAGGTGCAGGCAAGACAGAGACCTCATTCCAAAGACCTTACAGAAGGGGAACGTTGACCCTGCCCCTGACCTTGCAGTGACATCAGGCCACAACTCTTCCTGATCTCAGCTTCTCCACCTGTAAGAACAGGTAACTCCTACCTGGAGGAATGACTGAAAGAGCCAGTTTAGGTTTGAGAGAACCAAGCACCATCCCTGGCACATGACTGGCCTCGGCAAACTGTTTCCCTGGAAACCCTCCCGCTGGCGCTGCCCCCACAGGGCTGCCTGTACCTGACGCTGAGGGGCGACTCCACCGAGAGCCCCAGCAGGGAACAGGCATCCCGGGTAAAGGTCTCGCAGATCTCTGCCCAGTGGCTGTTGTCCAGAAGGTGGCAGTAGGGCGACTTCTCCAAGCCCAGCCGCAGGTACACCAGACTGCCCATCATCACCTGGATTTCTACAAGGTGAGCAGGGCACAGGTTGGTGCACAGGCTGGGGAGCAGGGCACAGATCTGGGTGCACGGGCTGGAGAGCAGACTGAGCCCCGCAGTGCCCAGGGCCCTGAACAGGCTGAGGGGGCGATGAGATGCCCTCGGGCAAAACCAGTTTTCCCTAAAGTCCCATGTGGAGGCGGAGCCTCTTCATGTGTGGGGCAAAGAAGCATCCTCGCAAGGCAATCAGGAGAGTGTGACTTCGCTGCCCATCCTTTCAAGTGCGCAATGAAGAGGGAGTCTCCCTCACGTTTCTCTTACCCCAACACTAGCTACTCTCCCTGTTAAAAAAACTTCCAGGTGGTATCTAGATTTATTAACAGTGCCTGGTTTTCATAATTTCACAAATAAAATGTGAGGTGATAAGTAGACAGAAACAGAGCTAAAGAAAAAAGGGACCAATGGTAGGGATGGTTACTAGCAGGGAACATCTGGAAAGTGAGGCTCAAATGACTAAGGTGTGGAAACGCTGGTGTGACAGAAGGTTCATGAAGAAAGCTGTGGAGGACGTGCCAGGAAGGAGTGGGATTCTCCTAGGTGGGAGGCCTGTATTGAGGCCAGGCAGCATGAGGGCGTGCGTGTCCCGGGCACACACAGACCCGCCCTGCTGAGTGTGGGTGTGGCACAGAGCAGGTGTCAGGGACCAGAGTGGTCTGAGATGATGGCAGAGGTAGATGCAGAGGAAGAGCCTTGAGTTCGGAGTTCACCTCAGAGACAGTGAGGGAGCGGTCAGAGTTCTCACGCTGGGGAACGGCATCCTGGTTACATGCAGCCCCTCAGGTGGGGCAGGGACCAGCAGCCCAACAGCCTGACCCATGCTGACACCTGCCGGGGTCCAGCAGCACCCCCCTGGCACCCTGAGCGCGTACCTCGCTGGTGCAGCCGTGCAAATGGCTGAAAGTGCCGGGCATAGCTGAGGGCCTCTAGCTGCTTCTCGGGGCCGCTCGCCAGGAGCCGGATGAAGTGCAGTCGGTGCAGCTTGAACTCCAGGGAACTGTTGAGCTCGAGCAGACGCTGCCTGTGGGAGATGGCCCACCTGGGAAAAAAGGGAGCCGGTGGGGTATGAGAGGGGTCCTGGGAGAGCTGGGACTGAGATGGGCTTCAAAAGCCTAAGTGAGGCCCATGACACAGGGCTGGAGTCATGTCAAGTACACTGGGTGACACGGAGACCACAGACATGCCCTGTGCCCCTCTGGCCCATCTAAGGACTAACTTACTCCAACGCCGGCCCTAGGTCTTGTTCGTGCAGAGCTTCCAGGATTCGATTCAGCTCCAGGAAGGGTTGCTTAAAGTCCAAGTCCACATTCAGGGTGGATTCCTGTGGGGGGAGAGCGCAGTCCCATCGCTGGACATTCAGTTCAGAACATTTCAGTTCTATAAGGCTGAGCATTACATGCTGGCCTCCCAGGGCGCAGACTACACACCCGCCCCAGCCCCAGGGTCTGAGACCTGCGTGGAATAGCATGGTGAGAGCATTGTTCCTCTTCAGTCCTCTTGATTACATTAGGGAAAGCATCCTTTTACTGTTTGTGTGTTTTTAACACCTAACAAGTGCTACTTTGTCGTTTCACTAACCTGTCTATTTAAGAAAGGGCTATTGGGCCTCAACTCAGAACACTGGCAGGCAACCAGCTCTAGCTAGAAGTTCTGACTTCATGACTTCACTTTCCATCATATATATGTTTAGAGCTACCTTCTATTTAGGCAGGGGAAATGATTTCCTTTCTAAAACGAACTTCTGTAAAGAATAACAGGAACCTGACATAAAGACAACTATCAAGCGGGAGCAGAACGGGCAGGTGCCAGCACCGTCCGGGCCAGGCCGTTACCTGGCACAGCTCCTCGGCAACACTGAGCATGCCCTGCTGGTACAGGTGCTCCACGATGGCCATCTGTAGGATCTGCTGCTGCTTCTCCCGTGAGTCCCACACTGCGTCGGAGACGACACCACAGATCTCAGAGTCAAAGTTCTGACGAGGACAGGAGACAGGGCTCGGTGACTCAGCATCCGTGCTGCTCACGCTCACTTTCCCACCTCCCACCGAGCCCGACACACTAGCTCCAGGGCATCCCCACCCCCAGCCCAGGGATGCCCGCAGGCTCACCCTGTCGATGGCTTTGCCCACTCGAGAGACGCTGCTGTGAATGTCCTTGTGGTCCGAAGCCAGTTTCTGCACAGTGTCTTTGATCTTCCGGCAGCACTGGGACATCACCAGGGAGAGGGTGGCAGAGAGAGGGGTCCCCTGGAGGGCTGCAGGGAAATACCGGCAGTGAGGCAGGACACAGAGGAGCACACCTTATCCCTGCTTCCTCTAAACACCAGCCTGGAGGCCCGGGAGGAAGCCCTGAACTCCCGAGTAAAGATCTCAGCTTCTGTCCCACATCCTGCCACTTTGTAACTGCATGCCTTGGAGCTGGTCAAGTGGGCCAAGTGGGTTCATCTCTCGGTTCATTTCCTCACCTGTAAAATGGTGTGACAATGCCGGCCCTGTACGCTGCTGTGAAATGTAGATGATTTGGGACTTCCTGTGGGTAAGCCCTTAATTTTAGCTCATTTAATCCTCACCACCGTGCTCTGCAGTGGGCACTATGAATATCCCGTCCTGTAGCTGAGGAAGCTGAGGCAGGAGCTTGCCAGGCGACAGCAATGACAGATGTAAAACCACCACCACACCTGAGGGCTCTTTATGGTCTTGTGTAAGATACCACATGTGAGAAGGCTTTGAACAACAAGGCACTATCCCTGTGTTCGTGCCTTTTATCAACCCAGAGGATACTGCCAGGGAAGCGCAAGGATATTTCTGGCTCATGCCCCCAGGCCTGCAATGGTTTTCAGACCCCTCCTCCAGCCCAGCATCGATGCGCCTTCTTTAGGCAGCAGCACCTTGGGTCAGGGAAAGAAACATGACCCAAGAAGGTCGGGGAGTGTCTCAACTCCAAGACCAGACGCCCTGGAAGAGAGATGCATTCTGCTAAGATGCTGAACAATCACGATGGGAACTGGAGCTTCTGGAGCACTGTGACTACCTCAGAGGAGCAGTGCTCCGAGTATGAAGCCAGCATACACTGAGTGGATCACGTGAGCACCTGGACGCAGCTGAGCCTGGACATTTCAGTGACCCAAATCCATAAATCCAGTCTTCCCGACCCCCACCTGTTGGTTTAAGCTGGTCTGAGCTGAGTTTCTGTCACTTGTTTTTGGTTTCTGTTTGTTTTTGAGAGAGACAGTGTGTGTGTGAGCAGGGGAGGGACAGAGAGAGAGGGGATGAAATCCCAAGCAAGCTCCACACTGTCCGATGAGTAGCTCAAACTCACAAACCGTGAGATCATGACCTGAGCCAAAGTCAAGAGTCGGACCCTCAACCCACTGAGCCACCCCAGCACCCCCAGGGTTGTCACCTGTAACTGAATGTATCCTGACAAATACAGACAGGAGGCAGTGGATGGGCCACCCTCCTATGCTGGGGAGATGGGGCAGGACTGCATTCCACTCTGACATCAGTGCCACCTGCCCCAACCCCAGCTTGCCACTCATCTCTCATATTCTGCTCCATTCAGGTCACAGAGGGCCACACTCTGCACATTCCCTGGCCACATTCCTGTTAGGACAAAGCAACAGCTTTTAGGAAACCAAACCCTTTTTGTGTTTTTTTAAAGTAAGCTCTAGGCCCAACGTGGGGCTTGAACTCACGATCCCAAGATCGAGAGTCACATGCTCTACCAACTGAGCCAGCAAGGTGCCCCAAAACCAAAGCCTTTTAACCTGAAATCCCCAAATCTTCCCTGCCCAAGGACCCACGGACAACTACGAGCCCTGACAAATCCCCATCTGAGAAAACACAGTCTCCGTGTAAAGACGCTACGGCAGCCATCACCATCTGTTAACCAACAGCACAGTGTACAAGAGTTTCAGACCCACAGAAGGAAACCATTCTACTGCACACAGTTAACATGCCATCAAAGTCAAGGGCATTTGTTATAGCATGGCACAACCATATGATGGAATGGGAAGCCAAAAGGTACAAGGATGAGGCAGAATTCTATGTACTAATACAGAACATTCCCCAAGACAAACTAGGAAAGCAAGGTACGGGAAAGCATGTACTTTATTCTACCCTTTTTGCGTTTGGAAAAAAAAAAAAAAA